TTCCGGATACGTTAACTCCATTTGCAAGGCTTCGCCTCCAGCAATGTTTTCTACCACTTGAACTTCGATAGATGGGAGTAGTGAGCTGCTCCGGCTGCTGCAAGCACCCAATCCAATTATTTTGCTTATCTACCAATAACAACTCTGACGGTCGAGCTTCGTTTTAGGTGTCCTAAGTCCACGGAGTAGCATTGCTAGTGGTCAGCTTTCAAGTGGTCAGCATAAAGCGTTCTGTTTGTATGTATTCCGCCAAAAACATAAACTTACGATAGTAGCACAACTATAAATACACTGGCGGATCTAATCTGATGGCTCGAGGCGAAATCTCACAACCCCCATCTTCAATAATGCCGGGAAATGACGACTCAATAATTCCCCAAATGACACGTTGGCGACGGGCAGAGCGAAGGTTGAGTGTAAAGAAAAGCCGGCTTTGATATGCCTTGCCCTGGCCCGAACACCTTTTTCTCACAGAGCCCGAAATGTTGCATTATGGCTGATAGGTCCCCAATATTCACAACGGGTAGCAAGGCAGCATGCTGCCATTCGGTAGAAGATAGATTATCGCGGTATGCCGGCCGTATTGTGCGTTGAAGCCCGGCTTCTTGTTGAAGAGACGGATGGGCCCCCTATTTTTCGCTGCCCTCTTGTGCTCTCTTGCCCCTTCTAGGGCGCAGTTCTTTCGAATAAGGTAAAGGAATGGGTGTAGTCCTTTGGTAAAGACAGTCCATAATGGAAAGGATGTGTACGGCGTATTGTGCGAGGGGCCGTTCTTGAAGTTCGATGGGTGAAGAAAGACATTCGGGGAGGATCGCCAAAAGGAGTGCTGGAGGCCTAGGTATTGCACAGCCTAGACCGCTGCCACAGTTTTTCTACTGGTACCTCATCATCAAGAGGTATATTCTTTCGTTCCCTGGTCTATTATTGATGGCGAAGTTGTGCAGCCTCGCCTGGTTAAAGTGAGCCCCTTTTCCCATTAGTATTTCCCCTAAAACATAACAAAGACAACAGTTAATTTACTCCCCCAATATAAAACATGGTTGATATTATGTTTTCGAGCAAATGCTTGATGCTGTAAACAAAGCGCTCTCGACCCTGGGCAAGTGTTGTCGGGTCGGCCTGAGGGGCTGGTTTCAAGGGTGGGTTGCATTATGATAGTAGAGAGACCTGGCAACCTCGAAGGAATCGCATGTTGGAGTATCGATACTGAGTTTAGAATCTAAGTAGAGGATAAGCTTCCATATACACGACGAGACTGGATTCGAACGATGTGCAAAACCTGCCAGGTGAGTGCCAAGTTGGCTAGAAGCGGACGTGTGATAGTTCTGCAACACCTGGTTGGATGATTACTTACTAAGGATTACCTAGTTGCGAACCTTTAATAGGCATTGTAAATCTCCAGTAAGGACTGCAGCGGTTGCTGCAGTCGAGTACTCGTCTTGCGACTGAATTCTCCTTTCGTGGCCCAGGTCTATCATAGACGTGTTGGGAATGTTGCGCCCAATACTTTGGAGGACGGAAACAGCGTTGCAGAGTACCTACCTTAGGTAGCAAAAGGTAAAGGCTTCAGACTCTTCTTGGTCTTCTCAAGGGAGCCGCCGTGGCCATTGTCATCTGGAAAGAGTATTACTTTTTTGGGTTTGACATCTCGACTCTAGCAGTGGCCTACTGTAGCGAACCCATCAGGCGCTAAACATTTGTTTGTCCAACACCACATCAACGATTTGCCCTCTATACCATTGAGAATCTCCCTACCTAGGTAACCATAAACACACCTAGGTAGGTAGGCAATGAAGGCCAGCTGAAATGTGCGGATGGCTTCAACCATTAATATGTGTAGAGTTCGATCCCCCGCATCCTCCCCGAAGACGGGCATTTCACCAACATAACAGTTACTCGTACGTTATAGTAACTTCGGCGGTTGTATCACTTACAAAGACTGCGTGGGGGGGTGAGGTGATACCATACGAGTAAGGGGAACACGAACACGCTTCCTCCTTCCCCCTTCAGCCGTCCTGTCCTATCTCATCTCATCTCATGCGTGATGTTCCGGGACGCGGGATGTGTACATGTACCAAGCAAGGCACGGATAAAGAGGGCACCACAGCGCACCCGCCTACTCGAAGTCCGGAGCACACTCCACGAAATATTTAAATGATGTTCATCCCTTCCTTCCACATAAACCGAGCCAGATGCCAGAAGAACTCCGACGTGGCAATACTCTCATTTACAGCGTTTATTTCGGAATCCCTACCAGCCCCTATCTCATCAGCAACGACCCAGCTCAGAACACTGAGGCGTGTCTAGTGCGTGGCGTTGCCTCGATAATTTTCTGTTCGGTTTTGAAAGATGTATGTTTTCAGGAAGCGAGGCCTTGATGGTTTCATCTCAGCATCACTTGGACTGGTATTAGAAGGAAAATATGATCTGAAGATAGCCCATAAGCTTAGACAAGTGTCTAGCTACACTGCCATGCCGATGCATTGACAGCATTACTGTCGTCCCCAAGTGGTTCGATGGCCGGCCAAGTTGCATGGGTCTGCCCGACATGCATCTTCGAAGTATCTGTTGAACCAGTGACATCTGGAAGGTAACCGCGACAGCGGCGGTGCCAACACATTATATTTTGGTCTCTTCATCCGTCATGTCATGTGCTTTTATCAACGTCAGATGCGGGTTTCGGTTCCTCTTGCTATGCGCCATTCCAGAGTCCCCGTCAAGGTGCTGGAAACCTTGACGATAGGTTCAGTGCGGTGTACGAAGTGCACGCACTGTGTCCCCGGCTGTATTTGGCTGAATGGGTGGTAAATCCACGTTCTTTGGCGTGTGCGGTGCCCCTGAAAGCTCCAGAAACGTCTTCACTTGAAGACCTACTTTTGATTTGAAAATGTTTGGGCTTCATCAATGCATATTCATTTTTAAATAACAAAGGGTGATGGATAAGAACCCATAGCCAGGGTATCAGGATGCGAAGCGAGATAGACGCACAATATGAAATTGAAGACGAAATATTTGGCCAAACAAGAGGGCGATACTGGAAGAATGAAGATGGCAATTCCACTGGGGCCGCTCTGTTTCCATTCTTTCTCTGAGCGCTGGCAGACATCACTGTTCAACCCTTCACTTGCTGCTTGTTTAGTCCCCAGTAGGCCCAAAGCAACCGGGGCAACTACTTCCCACTCCGGTTGCCGAGAAATTGGATGTTTAGACCAGGGTTGAAGGGGCGGCCCGAGCCCAAGTTAGAGGACACTGCCTGGGGTTCCGGTTTCCTCGTCTTCTAGCTACACCTTGGTGATGATTTCAGGGCGAACATTGCATCGAGATCGGCGACGCCCATCAGATCTCATTGTGTTATTGGGCTGAATCCCATCCGAGGGGTTCAAGCAGGGGCGCTTCACTTCTGACCCCAAGGCTTAGCGTCTTCGTTCGAGCGTCGACTGCGTCGAATACCCTCGACCATGCGTCTATCATATCCCCTCCAGCCGCTCGACAGCCTTTCCCTCCGCCATGTACGACCCGACTACATCCATTAATATGGCGGAGCGACTATAGTATCCAGGCGGTGTTGCTCCCTCGAGAGGAAAGCGGATGAGAGACTTTGGTCCGCCGGTTCTGCAGAGCCATTCCAACGCGTCTGCCTCATGGAATCCCATTGGTTTAAGCAGCAGGTTGTGGCGAACGCTCTCGCACACTTTCTCTCAGGGGCTACGCCCTGGAACCATCGCACTATGGGATATTTGGGGGACACTTGTCGAAAATTACCTTAACGTCCCAAGGCTCTACTTGGAAACTTATTTCCAACGCCTCCCTGGCTATTACCGACCCTCAACATTGTTTCTCTGACTCGTGCTAGAGAAGGCTCTTGTTTTTCAGCACACGAACTTTCCGTCAACAAGTCACCTTCAAAAAGGTCGGTTTTTTGACGAGTCCCTCGAAATACTCGAATCTGCTGACATGCACCTCCCTAGGATGGTTCAACAGCCTTTTTACCCAAAACAAACTTCGTTCGGAGCAGTGACAACCTCAAATATGGAGCCCATCGCCTACTCATATGACCAGAGCGAATTAGATGGCGGAAAATGGGGGTATCAGGGCGAGAATCAAGTTGATGATGGAGTCGTGGGACCAAACCCATATCCCGAGCCTGTAAGTGTTGTAGTTTACCGAGCCTATATGGTCCGGTTCGTTAATGGAAATATCAGGAACCCTCCCCTGGAGGCTCATAAGCCAATGAAATGCCTTTTAATTACCGCAGTTTGACAACAGCTAGGAACGGCATAGAAAGCTGACTGAGTGCGGAAACGGGGACTGAGCGGTTGGCGGATAGGTATTCTAGTATGAGGGCGTTATAAACCTAAAAGGTAGCGGCTAGAAGCCATCGTACGCGGGGAAAATATATATGTTTCTTTAATATAATAACGACCAAATACTCGTGGTTTCTCTCTCTACAAAATGTCCGATCCCCTTTACGTGCCCGAATTATTATAGAACTACTAGTGGCCTCGTGATAATGGGATGTAGTCGTTGCACCACGGCCAATGAGCCGAGATGTACTTGTACATACAGAGGTACATTGACATGTCTGCCCGCCTATAAGTACTTGGTTCTTTCCCACTCGTTCACTCGCCCATTTCCACCTAAACTGTCACTTTGTGCCCTCATAGAAAATCCCACAACTCCAGCAATTCCGACCCCAATCCTTCTAAACTTCCCGAGCAAAATTGGGCCAACAGACCATAATAACAGAGATAAGGAGACCTGCAGAAAAGCCAAGCCAGTTTCAGTACAACGTAAGTTTAATATGTCCTACGCTCTGATTCGCTTGGGGAGACCAAGCTGGCGGGTGGGATTCTTACACACCCTCCTGTATCATCAAGCGTCAGGCGACGAGTGCCTCGATACCTAGGCCGAGATAAAGGTGCCCAAGGTGGAAAGGGGGGGGTGGGTGTTGAAGGACGAGGAAGGTCGAAAATGTCTGAATGAGACTCCTATTTCTTACCATGGTCGATGATAATGGCGGCGCCAAATACAATCTCCCATATCGAGAGACAAGGCTGCCCCTTAGTACCAGTGTTAGTACAGCATGTTTACGATGTCGAAGTTAACAAATCGCAGTCAGCCTTGTCAGACGACGATCTTGAAATGCAGTCTATGAGGAACCGGAATCATACGACACCAAAATCCGCTGTGGATGGAGGTGGGAGAGAGGAGAGCTTGCCGCAGTTAAGCCCACCCCGGGAGAGTAATCCTAATACTAACGGTTGGTACTCAAATGCAGAATGCGCCGACGCTGGACGTGCGATAGTGATGCTAACGCTTAGCAGAAAACAACGGCTCCATCTCGTCGAGCAAACTTTTCTGGCGACGGCTCCTCAATTCCAGATACTTATTTGGGCCAACTGCTGAGGAGACCCGGCGCTTGAACCACTTGTTCGGGTATGATAGGTTGGTATATAAGCCAGGTATGTCGACACGTTGGGCGGAGCCTTTCCGAGTAATGCTAACAAGAATCAAAATAGTGGAGTGCTTCCCCAAAGGCTACCCGCAATTTGCAGCCTTCATGGGTTCGGACGATAGCTTTGCGAATTACCGACAATTCAGCCGCTTGTCAGCTCGAATCCTCCTACATCTTCAAAACGAATTGACGGAGCTGGAGAAAGAGCTCGATGCACTTGACATGAAGGATGCCGCTGATCCTATTATGAGAAATCGGTTGTACGGATTGGACGATTTTCCAGGATGTGACAGTGCTCAGAAAGATTTGATGTCCGCAATAAAGAAGAAATATATTGAATTCAGTAATATACCTTGTCTCAAGATCGGATATATATAGGAGCTAATGTGCGGATAGCTGAAGTGTTTTCAAAAGCTGCTGAACTTCACAGCTTGGGGCGGTCCACACCACGAGATCACCGCTCCGTTCTCCACTGGGTTATGAGCAGGACACCCTTTGCAGCTGGAAAATATGACTTTGTTTTCCACGCCGACGACTTCGTCTCGCTGTCTCGGCAGTCCCAAAATGGGCGAAAATTCGACAATCTCATCGAATCTTGTCTGGGTGAGATGCCGTGGCCAAGTATCAAGGTATGTGTCGCCCTTCGCCTTTGGAAAGCATACTTCGTTCAGAAAGAAAAGGGCAAATGCTAACTTCATAGCAGTACTTACTGCAGACACCGAAGGAGCGTAGCAAAACCCAGGATCCATTTGTCACCCACTATTCACCCTCGCGGCTCACTTGGCTTGTCAAATCCATCACAGTCTCTCTAGCCGTCGGGATCCTTTTCGTTCCGGTGTACTTGTTATTCCTTGTTCCAATGAGCCGTGCCATGATGGCGGGGATTTCTTCAATCTTCGTGTTTGCATTCGCGGTGCTCCTGTCGGTGATAACCGACGCCAAAATGCAAGAGGTATTCGCTGGATCAGCCGCGTGAGTAAATACTCGACGCTCCTCGCAGCTTCGAAGCTAACTTGCAAAAGATATGCAGCAGTGCTTATTACATTTCTCGGCAACATCGACAATCTAGCGGGCAGCCGCCCGGCATGATATGGGGTCTGCGAGTGGTTGGTCTGTGACATGTTGCTTTCCTTAATTAAAAAGAGTGTTTTCTCCGCGATTTCCGAGCAATATTTCCATTCATTTCGGGTCCGAACCCATTGCTTATCCTTGCCTGAAGAATTTCGCCGTCGTAGATGATGGTGCATCGATATTTCTTTATGCCGTTCGTCGTATCGCAATGATTTTGAAAAGGGGAGGCAGAGGCCTGAGTGGGCGAGCTCGGAGCGAGGGTCTGGGGCTAACGTCACGTGGATCAACTAACCGTTTTAGGATGTTTTGTGTGTTTTACTTAAGGGGGACCAGGAGATTTTATTAATAAATCCTGTTGGGAGCCAGATATGTGATGCGTTGATAATTCTTTTCTACTGCTATAAAAGCGTCCAGAACTAAGCTTCCTCCCTTCGTACAAACTTCCCCAGCACTAGGTATCTCGCAAATACTTGTTAATGACTTGTTTATCAAATAACTTCACCAGCTCTCCATTGGTCTTCTCTAGTCTGTGGCTTCGTCAAGCTGTTGCCAATATTGAAGATATGGTGGTGAAGGGGAAGCACTTGTACGTACGAAGTTTGGGTTAACACGATACAACCATACGAAGTAGACCCTTCTACAGTACTGGTGCCACACTGAAGCGGCCAGTGAACCGGGATCGGAGACGGTGAGCTGACTCAGCCGTTTCCACAGCGACGAAATGGATTTGAGTTTCGTTGGCTTCCGCCTCGCGCAATGGCTATAGGTACATCACTAATACTACGACATCACTGATACTGCCTACCTCCACCACATAAGGTACTGTACTGTACTCACAGTTCTTCGTACCTTATCTTTTGATAGCCAAGTGCGTAGTACCTGGTACATTCATATATGGCAAATCCTCAGGTGCAACTGGCCGGCTGGCTCAAGTTCGGCTCAATATCTCCTCCAGTTCAATCTCACGCACCTCCGCTTGAGCACTGTCTGAATACCTACCTAGGTAGGTAGGTAGGTACCTTACCTACAGACTGCTCCGATTCCTTAACTTCTATTCCGCCGCTCTCCACCATAACAACTCATTCCTGCCCCATCGCTCCGGGCTTGAAGTCATGGCAACGGCCATGTCCTCCGACCCACCTGACGATCGTGCCTCGCGCCTCTCTTATCACCGCGTCACATACTCAGCGGCACCTAAGCAAAGCCTAGGAAGCACCAAATTGCCACCGAAGCAACAAGGGGGCAGCAAGCTTGTAAAAGTGAGGTTAGTATTTTAGGTCGTACTACGAACGGTAACAGATAATATTTGCTTTATTCTTACCTAAAGTAGGTACTGTGTACTCAAGTACGTAGTACCCGGCTGTCAAGCACGTAGCTCTGGAGTCTGGAGTTTGGAGCCTGGGACGTCCGATGGCCAGCCAACCTTGCTGGTCGGGACGTGGGGTACCTGGCACCTGCAGGCGGGTACAGTACAAGGGAGGTTCCGCGGTGTGTGCAGATCGAGGACGCGGTAAGTATTATTGGTAATCGCGGCAATCGATTTTATGTAATTATTTGGAGACTGGAGCGTGGGGATTGGAGAGTTGGCGGGTGCGGAGTGGGGAGTGGGAGCGATTGGCTTGACGGGAAGGGAAGGGAAGGGAGGGTTCCGGCCGGGGCACGGCGGGAGTCCGTGCAAGGTGACGGGCATTGGCACGCTAGGCCGCAACCGGCAAAAGCCACCCTAGCCCGAATAGGCAGTGGTGCGTTTACTCGTCCCGCCACGAGTAATAGAGTGTCTCAATAATCAGCTTGACAGAAACAGGTACTATTGATATGTACTATAGCTACTAAGGATAGGCTACAGATACGAAGTATAGCTCCTGGATATAAGTACTAAGTACGTACTTGTTCCACTCTCTCCTGCGCAACTTTGCGTGCGGCTTTTTGCGCAGAAAGTCGACTCGAGGTGCAAAGTAGGGTGCGTTAATGCTATTATTATTTAGGTGCTAGCACCCCACCAGCTATTCTTGCGCAGGACTAGCATCATTGGTTAGGTGTGTATGAGGTCCGACACGAAGAAGATCACCAGGAATTATAAAATTACATCCTCGAATGGGCAATTCAGGAGATTGAGACGAGGACTTCAGCATAAACGACACCATCAATCACCATGGTCCTGACGAATCGCTGAGGACCCTTCATATTATAAGGCATTTGACACAGAACGAGCGAGTTCCGGGGATTCCGTTAGAGAAAGCAGATAGAGCGTAGAGGTTACATTCACGAACAACACGCCAGAGTGCAAGAGGACACTTACCAGGCTGCATGGAATAGGTTTGGCGTATAATTCGTACTAATATGTCTATCGATATTATTATATTTTCGATAGAGCAAATGATGATGCCGGTATCGTTGACTTAGAGTGCACAAAAGAATCTCCGTGTGATCATACGACGGACGAGGTGGTCCAACCGTCGAGGTCAAACAGATTCAGCAGCAGTAATCAAGCGACCTTGATAAGTAAGTTTAGTAGGGAGTAGATGACATGTAAAAGCTCACTATCCTACTTGATCTAAACAGCAGCGTGCTTTGCTTTATATACAAAAGTTATGAGTCAGATAGGTAATATGTTGCGGTTTGGCGGCCTTGATGGGTATGATACGGCTATCTACTCGTGCGCGGTCGTGCGCGGCAGAATATATTTTCGGAGCTAGGGTCAACACCATCATCACAACCCACCACGTCTGCCCGCTATCACCACATTATTAAACTTGAAATGCCACCAAAAACCAGCATGGCAGAATCTGCTACTTTGAGCAGGCCCCAAAAACGCAAAGACCCGCCACAGCCTTCCTCCAACAGCCAGAATATCACGAGCAAAGGACGTGGCATGAAGCGCGTCAAAATCCACGATGCGAGGTCAATCTTGGCCCAAAACGCGGACGCAGCTCTCAACAAAGGCGAGTTGGACCTACCATCATTTTTGAAAGCTCGTGAATTTGAGATCAGAGCTCTGGAAGATGGCATGCAAAAGTCCAAGGCTCGGCTTTCCCGGAGAGCGTTCCAACAAGTTCCGCGAGATATGCGAAGACGGACTGCGAGTCATAATGTCAAGAAGGTACCGAACCGGCTACGGAATAGGGCAGCACGAGAGATGGAGGATGATAATACGCCGACAGTCGATCGAAGTAAAAGGAAGCCTGCTACATCGAGGGGAAGACTCCGGGCAGAAACCGCGAAACGATTGGGGATTTTGGCAGCGGGAAAGCGCTCATTGAAGCCACAGAATGGAATTGGGGCTGCGGATGTGCACACGAGGGCTGCGTGCCCGAAAATTCGAACGGACAAATTGAACACCCCCCCGAGACCTGTATCGAAATTCAGGAAACGCCAGATTCATAAGACGTGGCTCCCTACTCATCTCTGGCATGCGAAGAGGGCAAGGATGACAGAACCTAGGAACCCTCTGTGGAGGTTTGCAATTCCAACTACGTCGACGGAGAAATCTTACAGACCAACGCATCGCGCCGTTGGTGCTAGGGGGGCAGTTGCCTGGGATACCAGTTACATGAGCACTATTCGACTCGAAGGTCCGGTGGAAAATCTGGAAAAAGTCCTAAGGGGAGTAGGCGTAGATGCGCCGGGAATATGGGAGCACAAAGGAGAAAGATGGAGAGCTGGGAAAAGGGGTTGGACCGGGTGGTTATCCAGAAAAAATAAAGACGATGCTATACCAATTGGGCCTGCAACTGTCATATGGTGTAGCACAGAAATTGATTCCACAAATGAAGGAGACCCTATACCAAAGAAGAGACCGATACGGCGACTCTTTTTGAGAACCCACCCGGCTGTGTTTCTAGAGACATGGGATACGCTACTGCAGCTATCTAAGTTGCAGCGCCCGATGGTACACCTTGAGGATCTTCGATTTGAGATAGGAAGCATTAGTATTACTGGCCCCGGGTCAACTGAAGCGCTCCTTGGGGTTCTACACCCATACCCCAAATCCGGGGATATTCTGGAGAGCCATGCACAGACATTTCAGTCTTTGGCTGGTATCACCAATCCTGGGTCATTGCCTTCTGATGCAATTTTGTCGTTCTCCATCATGGATCCCCGACTTCGATATCCGCCCAGGCGGATCACTCTGCCAGATTCCAATGATGAGAAAACTAACTTCGAACTACTGGAGATGTTATCAGCCTGGCCAGCAGATACTTCCAATCCTTTACCTGACTTATTTGAACGCCGGATGCGGTTCGAGGCAACCCGTCTTCCTGCCCAGAAGTCCATCAATCGCCGTAAATCTCAAGCATTACCAGGCTCCTACGCCTCTATTCTCCCTACTGATCCACGGATACCTGTCATGCTTCTTGCATCTCGCTCGGCTTCCTCAGCGTCCGCACAAGGGACATGGACCCTTCTTGCGCCGTGGAAATGCATACTGTCGGTTTGGTACGGGTTAGTACACCATCCCCTATCCTCTGGTGGTAATCCGCGATTTGGAGGGCTTGATGAACTTCGCCAGGTTCATTTTGAGCATGGAGTTCCGTGGTTCCCTGCAGATTATCCAGGCACCGATGCTGGTTTTGCCTGGGAAGCAGCTGAGCGAGAGAGGAGGAAAAGGGAATGGGAATCCAGGCCCAAAGGAAAGAGAACAGAATGGGAGTCCCTGGATCTTGGTGCGGCAAGGAAAGGCGAAATCGGCCGTGGCTGGGCCTGCGATTTTGAGAGATTGGTTGGAGTGGCACCACTAGCTGAGTGCACCAAATCTATTGATACGCAGGATACAGAGAATTCATCTGTGGCTCAACCCGAGAAGGTCAATATAAAATCTCCCATTACCCATCTCGGTTACCAAAACTTCACCACCCTCCTCTCATCCCATGATATCGGACCAACTCCCTCCTCTCAAGTTGCTACTATTCGTCTCACACTTATCACTCGTGGTATCGCCTCTCCATGTGCACGAATATACCGCCTTCCACCGCCACCACCTACCGCAGATCCATCCTCTACAACTAGCAGTCCGCCGCCCACCACACGCGCAGAATGGCTTTCTCACCTTCCACCACCATCCAAAACCAAGCCTCTTCCCAATCCTAAATCAAAAGCAGCCAAGGATCTCGGCCGAATCCCACTCAACACCCCTATTCCTCAACGCGTCCGCCTCCTTGCGCAGGCCCTCTTGCAAGGACCTGCCCCTACTTATCCCGCAGTCAAGAATGGGCTTGATGGGCACCCCCTAGTGCCTAATGAGGAAGACCTCATTGGGTTTGTAACCACGGGGGAGTTTAATCTTGCGGAAGGGAAGGGGGTAGCTATAGGGACTGTAGCTGTAGCTAAGGTCCTAGAGGGTTTGAAGAGAGATAGGGGACTGGGGGCTAAGAAAGACGGGAGATTGTGCATTGTTAGAAACGCTGGCGAGAGCATTGGCAGACTAGCCAGGTGGGAGGCTGTATAATCAAGCTGGTAGTTGTAGTAATAATTAGAAACTAGCTACATCAGTAGGTGTGGTTCATAAGAAACCCATTGATTCATTTAGAGTTCCAAGTAGAATGCTCCGCAAATTGTGCAGAAACGAATATTATTTTCATCAAAAAGCTTACCTTTTTCGTTTTCTATTGTAAAAAATTTAAAGATTTCACAACTAGATTTTGCAACACATCGTGGGGATACTCAAGTCCTCTTAAGTACCTTATAGACTCCGTTTGTCGAAGATTAACACATACCACGGTTTGTACTTTATAGCTTACATTCTGCAGACCTTGGTAGGGTGGCGATAGCTTTCTGTAGGCATACTGACTTTGAAATATTTACATTCGTGTAGGTTAAGTTCTAATATTGTAAATTACAACCATGATTCATTAGTTCATAAATGCCGCTATAAACCAAGCTTAAGGAACAAATACATCCACAAAACCAGCCTATTGCCAATTGCCTTGGGTATCTCAACATGTTAGGGAATCTATGCACGTCAAGAAAAACTTCAACCCCCCCCTACTTCAGCATAATCTCAGAATAACTCTCCAGCCCAAAGCACCCGCCTCCCTAATAGCACAAGCCAAACAACTTCTTCCCCTCCGACTAACAAGCGCATTCCAACCGCGCTCTGCACATAAAGCTCGAGCCATCATTTCAATGTCGCTTCCGGATCTGCGTTTGTGGCCAACGCCTGGTGGGGGGAGGTCTGCGGTTGCTGAGTCTGTGCAATCGACCACGAGAACTTTGGGGATTGTGCTGGAGGTTGTGTGGGTGCTTGATAGTGTTGGGTCTGTTATTTGGGCTGATAATAGGAGGTAGTTGAAGGAAGTAGAAGAGGAGGTCGAGAGGAGGTCGAGGATGTGGATTCGGGTATAGGTGAACGCTTTGTGTAATGGGTGGTTGCCTATTTGTTCCTTAGTTTTGATATTGGCTACAAACGATGGAGTCAAAGAGGTACGGGAAGGAGATATGTACTGGAAACAGATGAAGACTTAATAGATCCCTGCTCCAAGGTTCGAAACAATGGGCTTGTCGGCGTTTTGAGAATATCTGTGTAAGGAGACGCAACGCAGGGGTGTGCAGTGACGAACTGCACATCATGCGACAACGCCAGGTTTACCTCTCTTTTCTCTTCTACATCCGTGGCGACGATAAAGCGCATCATCGCTGAATATGTTTTTATCTTCGTTGAGGTGGCAACTTCTGTACCTGTAGGTGGTGTTGGATCTTGGGTTGAATCGGTTTCTGAGTCAGCTTCTGAGAACAAATTAAGGGACTCAAAGGTGACAGAGAACGACTTTTGCAGTGCATCGTCAGACGGAGAAACAAAGTCTCCTGGTAATACAGAAGAGGCATCAGCGCCACCTACTACGCTACCACTGGTCTCGATAGCTATTTTGTGCCAGATCCGCGGCACTCCATTGTGGATGTCTGAATCTATGTAATGTGAGTAGAAAATTCATTGGCAAGGGACGATAAGCTATTGGGAAAAGATAGTGGATGATATCAAAAAGGGTTCGCTGACCATGTTCGAGAGGTACCTCAACGTCAATATCAACCCATCCCTCACTGGAACCACGAGGGACAACCTCCGAGGATATCCAGCCCATGCACTCGCGTCCCCCTTCACTTGCAGCTACTACTCGACCAACAATACACGCGGTGCTCCAAAAGCTTCTCCCACAATATATAAATCCGCCATATAGGTTTGCTTCATCACCGAGTATAGATACAGCCACCTCGTCGTTTTCCAATAAGGTAGACATAAGGAAATGGCTCAGTCCTTCGCCAGGCAAGATCAGCCCATTAATATAGGAGGAGGAAAGCCACCCAGACGGCCGGAGCAGCGCTGTTGCATTCTTTTGCATCGATGAACCCCAACGGCCTTCAGGTCGCCTACTCGAAAAATAGGACGTAGACTGTTGCGTTGATACAGATAAAGGCGTGTCCATTGCTGGTGTACTCCGCGCACTATCAGGGATTTCGATGTCATTTGCTGAAACCTTAGCAGCTAGTGTCTCCATATTGGGCCATCTTAACTTGGAGGCAAAATGAACAAGCCCTGCCAGTTGGCGGGTCTGATTCCGGCCTTCGAATTTGGGATGATCAACAATTCCCACGGGTTCAGAGGTGCTACCAACTCGGCCAGTCAAGCTTGCTAGCCATCCCGGCGGCGTTTTCTTTTCGATCTCAGCGTCCGAGTCCTTCCTCTCAATCTTTATATTCTCGAGCCACTGGCGTGCAAGAATTATTGACCACCGCACGCTCATCGTAGCGGATTTGTCGAATCGGCGAAGCTCATCGAGCTTGGGAGCTTCAAGACCCTTATCCATGTTCATTGAAAGAGCATCGAGTCGTAGCAAAAGCTCGCTGGCTAATAATATCTGAAGTAATAGCCAGTATTTTTGCGTGCCGGATTCATGCATTACTTCACTATTGACAGGACTGTCTTCTCCTAGATCCGACTCGGGGTGTCCCCAAAGAATTTGACCGAGACGGATCCTATATTCTACTAGACCAAAGTCTATCCAGACGTAAGGAGCGGCTAGAACATCAATTAAAACCTCAATCTGTACTTGGAGACTGTACGGATCCTGCGAATCGGTAACTCTTGAAGGCGGATAAAGAATTTGCGTGAAAAGGTCTGTGTACAACTCAATCGTGGGCCGTTGGTGCTTCATAGGATCATCGTGATACGCGGTGCTAGCACTTATAAGTCTATCAATGAGCGTCGAGTCTGTTAAAGGCCGCAGCCCCTCTTTAGTATTGAGGAAATCCTTTCTATGGTCCAGGATGGCATTTGGACTCTCCTCTGGATCATCCGGGGGTATGCGAAGTGCATCTGCTACCCCCATCTCCAAGGCGGCTGCGTAACCCACCGTCCCTCTCTCAATCCCTTGCATACTAAGCATGTTTGGCCGTTCACGACATCGCGGAAGAAAATGCGCCCTTTGCTTCCTATGATGTTCCTTCGTAGCTTCCGGATCTCGACTCTTCTGAACCGTTATGTGCGGCCATGCGGTCACACATCCCCAGGCCTCATCTTGTATTCGGATATGATCACGCAGGTCTCTGGTGTCCACGTCGGTATTCCACGGGAATGCGACGGAAGGATGGGGGGCTCCAGTGTGGTGACCCTCGGAGCGAGCATAGAACTGCGGTGCTCCAGAAAAGAGTTTATGCAAGTCTGGAGGAGCAATAGGTGCGATTATTCTTGCGAGCTTCACCACAGGCTTCGGGGGAGACTCGGTTGCTTCATGCGGACCCGGCGGGGGAGGGGGTGGTAATGGCTTGTTCGTGCCAGACATAGGGCTAGAAGGGTTGGTATTGTCCAGCGATCGTGGGGGTTGTAGTTGGTAAGGATCGGGTTTCTTGTGGTTTATTGTCAGCCGGGTTCGAGAATTGTTCGGGCTCTCCCATACCCGACCCAGGAGATGTATGAAAATCACCACTGTGTAGAACGTACCATGGAGTGACTGTTACTGTTCCGCCACCAACCTGGTCTCGATTCAGGCGCGCCAACGGGCTTCTTGACCAAAGTCCGGAGGAAGTCACGCTTCGACTGTCTCCGTTGCAGCTTGTCCGTCGGCTCAGATACATGATCGAGGCTGGACGAAGCCGGATCACGATCGTCGGTCTGTGGTTGGCTTCGCTTCCTCCTGGTTCTGAGGAATGAGAAGGGAGCCATCTTCAAGCACAGGCTTTCAGGGAGAGGGGAACGGAAAGGCGGCGCCGTAGGTCATCCAATTCGATCCGATGTGAGGCAATCAGTAGCCATATCCTACCCACGGGAACACAAAAAGAAATTGAGAAAAACGAAATTAGGAGAGGAGAATATTGCGACTTGGCCAGAGAGTATAGGCCAGCAGAGGCGATTCACGGGAGATACCTAGGCAGTCTGGCTCTTGGAATCGTGTTAATATCGGGTAAAGTTTTGAATCAGATTGATGGGATAGCCATGGGCATGGCCGTGGTCATTGGCCGTTCTCCTCTCCTCTCCCCTCTCCTCTGCACGGCTTCGCGGAGGCTGGGTGCTGGCTAGGTGCCCGGGCAGAAGAGCAGAAGCAGGAAAATGGAGAAGTAGAAGCAGGGCGTGATACAATTTTTGATGTCAACCACTTACCGTTCGTTTCATGTATTGCTTAGGGACGGTTCTAAGGCGACGTGACGTCCTGGTGCTTGGCCCTGGTAAAGGAGCCGGGTTGTTGTGCTGCTCTTATCTGTTGATCCTGGTAGAGTCTAGAGCGTGAAATGCTGTACTGTACAGTCCATAACAAGAATCCTAGCGAACCCCAATAGCTAGGAGAGAGAATGGCAGAGAGAACTAACTATTAGAGATATTCGAAGACTTAGCCCCTACATCCATTCGAACTCATAACTGTATTGGTAGTTACGAGTACGGGCTATATAATACGCATTGTTGCACCTACGGAGGGACGTGGGTTGTAGAATGGCTCAAGTTCCCAGGTTCTCTACACCATTCTAGTACACTATAGAGTACGCTCCGTACTACGTAGCCCAGAACATAATCTGCAAGTTGGCACTATGGCGACTCCCCGTAGGCATGAAGCACATACAAGAGACTCGGTAGGAGATCTTAGGTGAGCCACAGGCTACTCGTACAGTACTTCGTAACATCGTGCAGCCCTATTAAAATCCCGAAGGGCTACGGTCCAGTGTGTCGAATATCAAGAGTAGAGCATGAGGGCCGTAAACTACCCCTTACCTAGGTAGTCAAGTTCAACAGGCCTTGCGACATTACATATCTTTATTTACGAGTCAGATCCTTCCCAGCGAGGCAGTCTAACCCTATAAATTGCTGGATTCGGCGTGAGATGGCCTGGGTAGCGCTAGCTGCTATCAATTGACAAACGTATAGTACAGAAAGAGACACAGTCTCATTTCATTATTCCGTGGCTCAAACTCCAGACCATGCATGGGTATCTTGTATAGTAAAATAAGAAATCATAGATGCCGACACGAAAACGCAAATCCCTTTATGCTGGGGGGGTATCATGAACAACAACAAAGATGTATTTGGGATCCGGCACAATGACGAGCTCGTTCTTCTTGGTTCGCAATCGGAGGAGCTTGATGTCATCCTACTTAAGGTGTTAGCTTAGCATGCCCAGCAGGATACAAAAGAATAACATGTAGAAAGGTCCAGTGGAGAAACGGCATCAGTCGAGACGTACCTCAGAATCAAGGTTATGAACCAGCCCACCAGCCGAATTCACAAAGCTCCATATCATTGCCGCAAACTCATCCACTCCTTCTTCATTCGCAGTATTTGTATCGGAGGTTGTGCTAGCTGAGGCTGTGTTTCTCGGAGCGTCAAGGGATCGAAACGAGGAAAACGAGCCAGTCGTTTGCAGAACAGTGTTGAGCGACCGATCGAGGACCATTGTAGCCTTCACACCAGACTTTCCAGCCAAACGAGAGATTGTCTCTGAAACAGCTGATGGCACGCCCTAAGTATTGCACGACTTAGCTGCTGCATACTACAATTCGACAGTGTGGGGTAGCTTGACTACTTTGAGTAGTAATTGAACGGTCGGCCGGACTTACACCTTGAAGATCCGTTGCTCTTTGCATCGCGAGTAGCAAAGGAGAAGTTGGTGGAAGCGCGGAAGGTAACAAAGTAAACTCAAGAAGCCCAGAGCTAGATGGTGAAGTCCTGAAGGGGGTATTTGTCGTAGGGTCTGGGAAACAACAACCTTGGAGGGTGAAGATCGCACGAACCGCATTGGTCTGCCTAGAAGCGTTAGCTTCGGGTAAATGTCGGCCCTTATAAAGCGGAAAACCTACTAGGAGGAGCAGGACGTAGTGCCACCGCCGAACCCTCATTACTGTCTCGTAAAATACAGATACTGTAGATCCAGCTTACTAGGGTCAAATCAATATCAAGATGGGCTCGAGTGTGCGCAAAAAGAGAGAGAAAAAGAAGGATTTCCAGGTACCTTTCGGATTTCACCCACGATGATCGCCGGGCTCTTCAGCTGATTTTTCTTAACAGAAACCAAAATTGAAAGTCGGCAAGACAAAGGCCAAAGCAGACAATTTCACGGACACCAGTTTCAAATCAAAAGGTACGTCATGTATTAGTGTATGGTTTTGGTTGTGATCCTGTTGAAATTGTTTTCTGTTACTGCATTGGTCCTCGTGCTGTCATTGTCCTCCTGCATATTTTCTGTTTGGATTTTCATTTTCCTCAGATGCTTACTCTGTATAGCCATTGTCGTCAACCAGCAGTCCCTATCCACAACAGCGCCATCTTCATCATCACAGTTCTCTCATTATCTCTCACTTGCTTCATCGTCAAAATCAGACTCTCAAAGACGAGATGCTCTCTCATATCTGACCACCCAGATTGCGTCAAAACCCGTCAATGATCCTATGCCGCTACCAACCGCTATCCTTCTCCCCAAATTACTCCCACTTATCCTAGATGGATCATCTTCGGTCCGCTCACAAGTTCTCAGACTATTCCGCCTCTTATCCCCTTCTGATATTGGGGACCGTGTCGAGCAAGCGCTGCTGTACACCAGAGCTGGGATGACCCATCTCGCCGCTGAGATTCGGGTTGATGCTCTTGCCGTCTTGGAATGGCTATTGGAAGTCGCCAAGGATGATGTTGTCACGTGTCCCGGAGGATGGGTGAAGACTCTAAAGACCTTTATGTCAATGATGGGGTGGGCAGTGAGCAGCAGCTCATCAAAGTGGACATCCGCTAGCAAAGTATCGTTCGGAAAAGCCGGGAAAGCCTTTCCGAGGCAGCTTCTTGTGCTTGCGCAGTTCCTGAAGGCAGGATTGATTGAGACAGACACCGAACCAACTATCGGTAAGGACAGTGGCTTGTTCCCTCTCTGCGATGTGGCGAGGCATATGATCCCTCAGCGATCAAATGCCTTTGCACATTTGAATCTGTTTGGTTCCTCTAGAGATGAAGAAGGAGAGATGTATATTGATAGGGAAGATCGACAACGAGTTTTTCAAAGGCGGTTTCAGTCTGCAGTAGCGATCGGGGTGGCAAATGCGAAAAAAGAGGCTGGGGAAGCTGGGAGATCTGCCTCTGTTTTGAGTAAAGTTCTTCTTGAGGGCATGGCGGACTATGAAAGCGTTGATGATACCCAGTAGACGGATCTCAAGGAGTTATGGGGTTGCCGGGTTTGCATTATGGATGTTAGAATCGTGGGTGCCAACAAAAGCTTGGCCGTTTAGTTTTATAACTATTTCCTTTGATTGCCATGCTGAGGCAAATCGGTGCCCTAGGTGCCTAACACGGACCGTCTTACACCTTTTTCCGATTGCATTAATAGGGTGCTATGTTCTCGGCCCAAAAAGCCATAGGTATTAAGGCCGAAATGATTGGCGGTCCAGCGACCTGCTGTTACGATGATACCCAATGGGGTGGGGAGTTCTTCCAGGATATATTGAGTAAATAATGAATCGCCGTAGGTTTATTTACTATCAATCGATTCTGTAGAGTAAGACAGATATCGGAGACCACCCAAAGAGCCAAACTACTAGACCGTCTTACTTGCTGTGATTTTGAACTCCGTATTATCAAGTAGTAGTTCGTTGTACGTCCTGGTGAGACTGTGTGGAATGAATCCGTATTCGTCGGACACGCCAGGTCACTAGCCAGGCGTGAGTTACTACCATTGCTTGTTCATCCTGTCGCGGCGAGCGGGTCCTCGAGATACCAGAGATATCAGTCCCTCAGGCTTGCTCCAGAAGCGCATTTCCCTTGTTTGAGCGATACCGTGGTATTCGAACCTCTTGAATGGGGGGACTCGACAGTTGAATCGGGAGGGCACGTTCAAGATCTCTTAGAGAAAGTTGTACTCGAGTACGAGTAGTGTGTAAATAAGCCAAATATCAGAACTACCATGAAAACGTAGCGCACAGCAGGTCAACTCCAGATGCATATATACATCGGTCTATTGTCGAGAAGAGGTTATAAATTGATAAATAAATAGTAATACAAATTTCCAATATCATATAGATACCTACCTAGTTAGGTACTTGTGCGAAGTATTATTAGCAAGCCAAGTGTCGCGTTCCCCCTGCGCGTACCGAGGATCACCCTGAGCCAATTGCAAGCACTTATCATGCCCCCACCATGCTCATCCCCACTACGGAGGGGATCCTTTATTTTCGCTCAACTCTCCGCTCTACGCCCACCAGGATCCTTCATACTCCGTATATCCTACAACAACAGCCCCTTCGACACAACAATATGATTGGTCATCTAAACAACTCGAGCTGCTCCGAATATCTTCTCCATATGTCTCCAAGTTTGCGCTACTATAGTAGTAGCGGTAGTGGTACGAGTAGTTGAGGTTCGGCGTCGCGCTTCAACAGATCAGGTGAGTGCTGAGAGCTTTCCTACTTCCATTGTTTTGAGTCTGTAACCATGTTTAGCTCTTCCGAGGAACCGCGTTGCAAAGCTGCAAATATGGAATAGAGCCTGATTATGTCTGATTGCTATTCACGGGATTTGATTGGTTTATCGAGTCGCGACGCAATATGACCAGAGTGGAATTATCTAGGCTCCCGACGCGCTTACTTCCCTATATTCTCTCCACTTGTTTCTTTCAACTGCTCTTTTGGCCTGATCGAGGTTTTTGTTGCACAGGGGCGTGTTTGCTTTGTGATCGAGGCGAAGTCGGCTTAAGAGCTACAAGAGGAATAGAGGTTGTAATGTTTACAACGAAGTTTACTCTGTCAGTTATGTTTTATTCATCAGAGGGCCTCTCTCAGCCTTATGAGTGAGCCTGCTACTCCATTTGTTTGCTATTAGATTTCCTCCCGTAGTTCTAAGACCATTCATAGCTATTGTGGGTATTGTATCAGCACCCACTTTTACATTCGCGTTTCGTTTGGAATTCGGGTACAAGCTAGCAATCTGCCATCAGCCTAAAAGTTGGCATTTCAATCTCGCTCGTCTCTTAGGATGCTAATCCGATTCTCGCTTTTATTTCCATGACCTTGATAGAGATACAGCTAACACATTCACAGATCAACATATTATTGGTTCTAGGCCAATATATTATTGTTTCCAAGCAAATATATTAACCCGTAAAAGAGAATGGAGTCCGCCAATCCTCAGCCCGCTGATGGCAATATGCCTCCTAAGACCAAAGTTGAGGTCAAAGAAGACCCGGAGCCTGCAGCCTCTTGTAACACGGATGTGGAATTCCTCCGAGTATCGAAGGTCAAGAAGGAAGAACCCGACGACGACAAGGTCGATATCAGCCTGCCCGAAGCTCGAGATGGGGATGATATGTTTGAGGATGTAGATGGTCCGGAGGTTGTCGATCTCACATATGAGGGCATTGCTGAAATCAACGGGGTCGACCATTTTGTGTGTGAAGGTACGTTTATGAATCCCGCCCTTCCCATTATTTCTATTAACAGCATTCAGACTTCAAGATCCCCCAAATTCCAAAACCCCAAATAGTCACACGGCCACTGCAATCACTTTTCGGTAAATCCTTCCTCATTCACTCGTTTGCCATCGCTTGATTTATTGACCGTGCCAAGACAATATTGAGAGCGGCCACATTATCCTGGATCCCGATTACCAAAGAGAAGTTGTCTGGGACGAAGGGCGCGCCTCTTTACTCATCACATCTATATTAAGTAAGACTCTAATATCTATTTCTGGCGATCTACTAATAATTTCTTAGTGGGTTATTTTATCCCTCCTATTATTTTTAATGTTAAGAACAAAATTATTGAAAAGAATGGCCAGAAGCAACTTGCATATACCCGTATTTGCGTCGATGGCAAGCAGCGGCTGACATCAGTCCACAAATTTATGACCGGTCAGATCGGGTTCTTCGATTCCAACTCGCCACAAAAGAAGTGGTATGAAACAGCCCTCCTCCTTTGGCCTTATCCACTAGCTCTAGATCTAACTTCTATTGTGACTAGGTACTATTGCCATCCGACCTTTTTCGGACGTGAGAGCTTCAGCAATCATAATATCTTACCGAAAGCAGTTAAAGACTTCTTCATTTCGCAAGCATTTTGTTGCTATGAGTACACCGAATTAAAGCTAGAAACCGAAGAAACCATGTTTCAGCTCGTCCAGCGTGGAATAGCGCTTACGCCAGCAGAGAAAATGCGAGCTATGTCTACAGAGTGGGCAACATTTACCAAGCAGTACGAGGATGATTATACACTGATTGTCAATCGTGAGTGGAATAAATACCATATTCACTGGCCCGACTAATATGGAAGCAGTATCAAAACAAACTCGGGCATCTGGTTTCCGCTTAGTCTTGACAATATTTACTATGATCCAGGAAGTCATGTCGGGGAAGAGAAAGAGGTCAGCCGCACCTACTCTTCAAGCAAGCCCCCAGGCGCTACTCAAGGTCCTCGAAGACAAGGCTCCGATCCCGGAAGCCCTTAAATTGAGGTTTAAGGCTATATTTGACAGATACGAGAATCTGGTCAAGATCTCGTCCACCCAAGTAACTGCCACTCGATTCAAGGTGAAGGAGAACTCGGTTTTTGATCCAGCTCCAGAATTCTTACGAGCCCCTGGCGTTGAGCATGTCCGTACATTTTCGCCCTTGGAACTCATCGGCACGGCAATTCTGGTGTCTTCCCACATGGAGCACCGTGCCGATCAGGAACTACTGGAGGATGTCAAGGCAATGCGCTACTATCTGCGTATCAAGCATAAGGACCTGCGAGTTAATGCCCAATGCTGGTTTACTGTATGGGAATTTGTTTACGGGGAGATGGCTCGTCGACGTGCTGCTGGGGTAACACAAGGACTGGGTTCTATCGGCAATCTGCCTTTACAATCTGGGCCACCTATTGTCGCACCGCCTACCGGAGTGACCCCATATGCCTCTCCATACGGCCCTGCAACTGGTGGCACTCCCGCCGACGTTGCATCTGCTGAGGAAACTTCCACTGCGCCTGGTAGTGGCGGGGCGTCTCAATCGGGGCTACCTGAAGGGGCAAACTCCGATGTCATATCGCCTGGTGGGACGGCAGTTCAAAGTAGTGCTGCAACCTCGTCAGATGCTGCTAGTGGTGATACTGGAAAGGGTGGTGAACCCCAGTCAGGGGAACCGACTGCTCCCGTTTCTCCACCCAATATTGCCCACGAGGACATGAAAGGAAACACAGCTAGCTCCCCTCTCCCTCAAGATGCAAGTAACAGCGCCAGTTCTCCTACCAACGATACGGATGAGGAAGAAGATATCAGGACAAGCAGGCGTAGCACCAGATCATCCAACATCATAGTGCCAAGCGCAGCCTCATCAAAGCATCGCAGAAGCTCGTCGAAGTCTGCTCCGCCACGGAAGAAGATCAAGCAAAGGTCTTAGAGGTTCTTATATCTAACATATACATGGACAATTTTAGAAGGCGTCTTGGATGGAAGGTGGGGGTGGGGGTTCATGAGCATGGCGTTGCTTTTGCAATGGCGCGAGACCATTAAATGCTTGGCTGGTCTTGAAGGCAGATGGTATACCAGGCATTCTTGTTTTCCTGACGTTTAGCATCAACTTTCATATATTTAGCTGTTTAATAGATGCATCAATATGCTATTCTCTTCACTAGAACTAGCAAACCTAGCTACCCGTCGTAGGTGAACTATGGCAACCATTCAGGGGGATAACAACTTCTATTCCACCCCGAATGCCCACTTAGGGCAATAGACCGAAACCCAAACCTTCGTGGTTATTTCCAAGTGGCTCAGGACTTACAACTCCAAATCCCTCAACCACCCCATCCAGCCCTTCTTCCCCTCCTCTCCAGGTAATCTAACTTCCTCCCACTGCTCCCGAGTAACACTCCTCCACTCGTCCATTGGAATCCACCCAATATATGCCCTGTCCCCGAAGCCGCCAACCCAGTAAACGTGCTGCACCACAAGCCTAACCCACTCACTCCTATGCACATACTTTCCGGGCGGCAGCCACCACTTCGCATCCGGGTGGTGCTCTGTGTAGCACTTCTTCAATTGCTCTTCCTTTCCTTGCTCTTCGTCGAGGTCGATCTTCTCAAGATACCCCAGCAGGGAGAATCGCGGCAGTGCGGCAGCGGAATGCGGAGGAGAAGGAGGAGTCCATTGCACCGAAAGCGAGATGTTCGACCCGGCAGCGACGTTCCGGAATGAGGTCGCGATGCCCATAGAGATGATGGTTGGGTCGCCGGTATCTTCGCATTCAGAGATGTAGTCCATAAGGCCGATTGGCATTCCGTCTACGCCCTCTGGCTGATGGCCGACTGAATGGGCATCGTGGGAGGAGGAGGAGGAGGAGGGGAAAACCGTCGAGAGGGTGCCGAGTGGAGTGAGGTGGAGGATGCGGCGGGCGAGGATGGCAGATTCGTAGGAGGTCGGGATGGTTGAGAGGGAAGGGTTGGAGAGGATGTTTTGAGGAGCAGCCGGGATGGAGATGGAGCTCGCGAGGGGGAGGAGAACGCTGAGGAGGGCGAGGGCCTGCATTTTGCGAGTTGGGAGCTCGCAGAGGGCGAGGAGAGAAAGCTATGGGGTGATCTTGTAGGCCGTGGAGATAGCAAGCAGTCTGAAACTCCGGGAGTCTGGGAACTGCGTAGCTAAATAGCTAAATAGGATGAGGAGAAGCGACGGGCGGCGGTGTCCGGAGGTATCCGGAGGACGCGGTTGGTCTTGGTATCAATGGATCGAGCTTCTTCTGGCATCCGACATCGCTTTGTTCAGGGCGACGGTTGAGAACTTGAGCGACAGAGACGGACAGCTGTTATTGATTGGCGTTGGTTCCTTTATATCTCCGCTACGATGATAGCTGTGGAGTTCTGGGCAGCGCCACTTTGACACATGGAATGTTTACTTTGCTTATCAGATCATCAGATTATGGCGCAGGCCCCGCTTTCGTGGGGTCATTTCCGCCTGAGGCCGCACAGCCGGAAGCCGGAAGCTCGCTCGGGTGATATTCGGCTTTGTATCGGCTCGGCTACCGGGCACTAATATCACATGACCATCACCTGACACGCACAAATTCGAGCCCTAGCTCCGAAGCGTAAGCGAGCCTTCCATTCCACACTCTGAATATCGACGACTTCGCCCTATTTCCATCGAAACAACCCACGTCCATCAACCTGTGAGTCTGCCCTTGATACCTAGATCCAAAATCTCATATTCCCTCGTCTGCGGAGACGACAATACAAATCTTGCCGCAGCGCGTCCCAGAATTACCAGCTAACCTGCATCGCCACCTCCCCAGATCGGAAAACCTCGTCGAAAATCGAAACCCCGATAAACCGCAATCATGGGAAAGGTTCACGGATCCCTCGCTCGTGCCGGAAAGGTCAAGTCTCAAACACCAAAGGTACGCGATATACCCCAAATCTGGAAGGACGGAATGGGAAGCCAGATGTGGAGCTGGTTTAGGGATGAAATTCCCAAGAAGAGGTCAAGCCGAAACGGATATTATACTGGACATAGCAGGCTCAAGGCTTGTGGATTTCGAACAACATGCGGTGTGATGACGAGATGCTGATGGATTCGGATCAATAGGTTGAGCCCCAAGAGAAGAAGAAGACCCCCAAGGGCCGCGCAAAGAAGCGCATCACATATACCCGCCGATTCGTGAACGTTACTCTCACCGGTGGCAAGCGAAAGGTGCGCATCGTCATTTCCCCCTGTCCAATTACCCTTCGCTAACAGGTCTCTAGATGAACCCCAACCCAACCACATAGATAAATCGACCACGATGGATGGAGGAAGGAATTCGGCGGGGGCGTTGAGTGGGAAGATGAGTCCTTGATCAGACTTGTGGTTGGACTTTCTCGAAAGTAGATGGAAAGCACATCTCTGCTTCAGGATGGGACGGACCGCTCATCTTTGGGAGGAAAGGACGCATCATCGAACTGGCATGGCGTAAATGTACATTTGAAGAAATTCTTCTTGCTTGCTCCTGCGCTGCATCAATGGAAGTTTGATCTTCTCCCACCCTCAGCATTGTCGCTTTTCTCGCGAGCTTTTGCAGATATGTGTCCCGCGGTGTCGGATATACCCATACCTACCAGAGAATTCAACCACTCCAGAGCTGTAGGTGGTATTATTTCTTGGCTTTGCCCATACCATTCCAAGGACGCGATATTTACACCAACCAGGAATCCGCAATCTGCCCATTTCCTCTTATGCACACAACAATTTACTGTAGTAAGCTTAGCAAGTACTTGATCTTCCTAACTGTTTTATATCTTACTCTGCATTGTCATTGTTAGGTGTACACCAACTCCCGAGAATGGACCACTCTATCTTTCTAATACTGTCTACAAATTTGCCCGCTTCAGTAGGCTCCACAGGCAGTACAAGCATTATATTCATGATCTGCGCTATTATCTGTACAATCTTTAATGCAAGTTGCAACATGATCTCAAGGTCACTTCGTATTTTACTAGTTACTCGCTATTTACCAATTGTTTACAAGGCAATCAATAAATATGGCTGTCACAACTCTCGCTCTACAACAGAAATGTAGAATATGAACAGTTATATTCTATCTACAATGGTCACCAAGTGAGAAGTACACCTAACATGCACCGCTCCCGGACTACGCAAAACTCCTTGATTTGGGCGGATAGCAGGGCTGAGGTACAAAGCTCTGAAATCAGAAATGTACTTCTCCTACCACCTTGCTCTTGCGATTTCGTGGGGTTTATGGAAATAGATTCTTGCTTGCTCATTACAATTTGTGAACCTCTCCTAGGTATCATAGCAAGAGAAGCTTGCGCTTGCAGAATATCAACTGTATTTAATGCCGGCCGAGGTCGTCGGACCTTGCGTATGCAAACACGCGTTTTAACTTTTTTGATATACAACATTCTTCTATGGGGCAGTTATTCTACTAGCGGTACTAATGTGTACGTCAGACCTGAATAATAAATCAATCTCTTCCTTTGCTAAGTTTGGCTTAGTTTGACCTAGCAGCTCCTCTCCCATATCCCACTTGGATGAAGTTTCAGTTGCTTTACCTTCCTCATTCCTTCTACTCCCTATCTCCGACCTCATTTTCTTTTTTGTTGAAAGTTCCCGCCACGCAGCCCCCGCGTACATAGCTATTATTCCACTTAAATCATCTGAGGTATGTCGATTCGAAATATGGGTCTTTGCCACCCCTTTTGCTTTCTCCTGCTTCTGAGGCTCTGAAGACGGATTATCACCAGGAAGTTCCGCCTTATCCCACATAACACCCAAAATCGGTGTAAGTCATGCCCAAATCCTTCCAGAAGCCAGGGAAGACGGCGATTTCCCAAGTTCGCATACTCGAAACGGGAGTTGGACTTAGACTCGGGCTGTTTATTCTCGTACCACTTAAAGAATCCCCAATCATAACCGATACCGTCACATCATCAAGCTTCAATGGCGATGCATGGCCCTCCCCCCTGACTCCATCATCCCCCGTATTCTTCGCTTTCTCTACCAACTTCAGCTCTAGTGCCCTTATGCAGTTGGGTTTCGGTTCTGCTGCGGGCGTTGTACAGAACTCCTCGTCATCACTGATATCCTTATTTATGAACCTCCTCCACGCTTCAACTGCATTTGTATGCCTTCGTTCTGTTTCCCCTACTCCGGTTGGATCCAATGGTGGCGAAGAGGCGCCATATAAACCCGGAAGTAGTTTCCCTAATGAAACCACTCCGACTATCAGCTTTCATACATGAGTTGGTTGATGTCAGAGTGTCTTCAGGTGGAATATGAAGGGGCGTACCGCTCGTTTAGAAAGTGCGCGGCGTACCAGAAGCAATGTTATCGTGGTGAGCCTTGTACCTTCCCTTGGCCTACCATAGTAGTAGGACCATGACGAAAATAACGGAGGCGGCACCTTGGCCAATGTCTTGCCACATACCCACCACATTATTTGAGGGTTACTTCTGGACGGGCCACCGGTTGCACTTGGATGTAGTTGAGGTTTTGTTGTTGGTAGTGGAACTAAATTCGTAATGGGCGAGGTAGTTGTACCCGTCGCATGGTGAGGTAGTGGGGCCGGCGAAGGGAGAGGAGCAGTATGCTGGGCCATGCAGTGCCGAGATATTGGAAAGGGTGAGGCCGCAGTGGCATTATCAGTTTGGAGTCAAAAGTTGTAGTGAGTTGATGTGAAAGCCAATGGCTTCAGGTGGAGAGGCCAGATACCAGATATTTTCTAGGCTGTATATATGTAGTGCCGACCCCCCATCCAAACATAGTGGTACTGTTACCATGTCCAGCAATGGGAAGGGTGGACTGATATAGTAGCCGGTGAGCACCATGGCGCGGCCGGAGCTGTTGGCAGGAAGTTCATTATAATAACTGAGAAGCTGATATTGGCTAGAGTTGAGCGATGAAGTGGCTGAGGTTGAGGCCGGAATGGATTGCGAAGTTGAGGTTGCAGAGAAGGGTCTTTGGGCATCTGGGCTAATAGTTCTGACTTGGCCATTCGTTGGACATAGAATGGTTGTTAGTAGAAAAAGAGTCACTAGACACCACATATTAAACAAGCGATAGAGAAACATGCCAAATAATTGTGTAAGGGTTAACAGAGAGAGAGAGAGAGAGAGAGCCAATACAAGGATGAGTATCAGATAATCATTGACGGTGATGCTTGAAAACATATCCCCTACTACAATCCGATTGTATCTATCTAATGGACGATAGTGTATGCGAGGGATTGCTGGCGATGGGAGCAAAGAAATTCTGGGATAAAGTGAGGCTGAACTAATGACAAACATGTATAGGAAAACGTCTATCATACTGCTCCATGATAAGATTCCGACCAATGAGCCTCCTGACTTTGAGGAATGACTAAAGGAGGCCGGGATATTGATGAAGAAGTGTAGTAGTTGTAGATTTACCAAGCCGTAACTTATTCCCCTTCCTGTTGACGGCATTGCGAGCTACTGTTGGGGTCCGGCAGAGGCCGTAGCCCACCCCATATTGCATAGAGAGGAGAATGTAGTAGAGAAAGATGGAGAAGAAAGATCAATGAATGCGGACGGCAGAGAATATATAAGAAATTCGGGGGAGCTGTTAGCCACAGATAAGGGATTACAGGGATATTTGGGTATCTGCAACAGTCTTGTATCAGCGCCAGTCATGTCTGGAGACCCGTTGGCTGGTATGCGTATCTCTCAATATCACCGTGCCTATATCAACTCCCATGCGTCATTCTCGACATGCGTGAGATGGGGAGCCGGTCCGGGGTTACACGCAGCAGACTTCGACTCTCCTATCGCACCCATTGACCGCGTGGCATCCCTGAATGCAGTCCAGACTGCAGATACCGAGTATCCGGGACACAAGGACAGCTCCTATGTGCTTCGTGATAAGACTTGTAGATGGCACCACAGCCCAGGGAAGTGATAACAGACTGACCGTGAATTGGCGGCTGTGTTTTTTGGACCACAACGTGCTGCAATCACTTATCTGGCCGCACTGATATGGCGAGAATCAGGGAAACGCCTGGCCTCGGGGAGATAGGGACA